TTATCTTTAATTCAACCCAATTTTCATTGACAGTTATGTTTTCAGTTTACAGTATTATCAGAGCAAAAAAAACAAAAAAATTGGAAACAGTAACATAGATTTACATACAGAAACCGTTTTGAATACTCAACTGTTACAGACAAAATTAGTCGTTGATCTAGGAATTTTTTTTTTTTTGAATTAACTTACTCCCAAATAATACAAATAAATAGTTGTTTAAGCAAATAAATTAGATGGATAGATGAGTAATCTACAAAAAAAACAGATAGAGACGAATATGGTTGATGAAAGGAAAAGCAGACAAAACAGATGAATATAGATAAATAAATAAAAAAAAATCACAGATTATACTGCATAGTTTTATTATTTAAAAATATTCTGAGTGCAGAAGTAAAAAATGTAAAAACAGAACAAAAAAAAAAAAAACAAGCAATTTATTTGATTTTTAAACAGTAATAGAAAAAGAAAAGCCGGAAAAAGATTATTCTTTCAACGACAATCATTGTCTTATCCTCAACCAAAAAAAAAACAGAAGATAAAGTAAGTTTCAAGTATCAAAAAACGAAGCAAAAAAAATCTTTCTATAACATTTGCTGATAATCAGACACAAAAAAAAGAAACCAAAATCCAAACAAAATCAAATATCAAAAAATGATGCATAATAATCAGAAAATTTCCAAGACTTAGCAATTAAATTTGCTGAAAAAAAACAGCAAAGATAAATTGTATATGTAAATTGGTTACAGTTGAAAATAACTTTACCTGTAAACCATACATCCAACTTCTGTTGCCTAAGAATGCATTTAATAAAAAAATTTGTCCCACAACATTAACGGTATATAATATTTTCACCGAAATATACAAAAAAGTAACAGCAGCTCCACTACTTCTGGTACAAATCAGTAAGTTTAGGAACCGTAGACGAACGCCACCCATCTGAAAGTAATGCATATCAATTGATTGTAATATCGGTGTCATTGTGCTACTGAATTCTAATCAACACAGTATTGTTGACAATCTGTATAAGCAAGGAAAAAAAAGAAACAGTGGCTTAATAGATGGTGGAATGAATAATATAACCTACCACTTGATGTTTGACGTGTAATGCTTCTTCAACATTTGTGGCTATAGTTTGTAATGCTCGATTTCTAGAATCTAAATCTAGTAGCCTAGAATCACAAGCCATTTGCACTAACGATTGTACATGGATACCTGAAAAAAAAAAAAAGTAATGAAAAAAATGAAACGGTATTGGTAATTGTCTGCAGCAAATATATAATTAGTTTATTTTATAATTTGTAATTACATTACTGCTGTTTATCGTCTTAAAAATATAATTGATTAT